AGAAATGTAATGACAATCGTTAAGTCCAGGTCATTTCGAGAAAAGCAAGGGAAGATTCTTTTGGAAGGTCGGAGGCTGATTGCAGACGCTCTCCAGGCAGGAGCTGTACCAAAAGTATTTTTCTTTAGCCGTCTGGAATACATTAAGGAGTTGCCCGCAGATAAGTTGAAAGGAGTCAGCCTCATAAAGGTGAAATTTGAGGATATCAAGGATTGGTCGGACCTAGTAGCACCACAAGGAATAATGGGTCAGTGGTTACACAATGTGTCACTAGGTGTAATGACGTGGACTTGTTCTTACCTGTCTTAGGGAAACACATTTTATTTAATACAAATTTATAATGTTAACTGGTGAATCCTTCCTCAAGACACCCCCAAAATGTAGTTTTCAAGTGTATGTATGATGTTTTCAGTGAAAGCTGAAGCTAATTTCTTATATATGTATTACTTCTTCTTTTTTTTTTTTTTTTTAAGCCAGGAATCAAGCTTAGGATCTTGCTCTTGCCAGGCAGGTGATTAGACCACCGAGCTATCTCCCCAGCCCCTGTATTAGGACTTTTAGTCCTTAGGAAGAGCCGTTGTTCCTCCTGTTTCTTCAGTTTTTGTCAGTAACCTCCTTATGTCCAGAGCAGATCTAAAGAGTAAGGGCTAAACTATATTGCTATTAGTCTGAGTGAAACATTTTGTCCTCTGAAGTCCTTCTGCATTTGGTTAATCTAACTTATGGGTTCATGTGATCACGATGATTATTAGCACTTCTGTCTAAATATGGGAAAGTAATTCTTTACACCATTTTGGCGTTGGAGCTACAGATGTTTCCCTGTTGTGGGCTCACTGTTTTGACTCCCATCTTTGGACTATAGCCATTAGTTGGGAGAAGAGATTCTGAGAAACTAGTTTGTCTCTGTAATCCAATGGGTCACAGGAATCTTTTTCTTTGTACATGTTGGTCAGATTTTAGGGTGGGGAATTGAGGTATTACAGAACTCCAATTATACCAAGTAGCCATACTCCTCATTAGCTGTACCTCTTATTTTCATTCAGTACTTCACTGAAAGTGGCATTTATTTTTACTATGCTTATCACTTTGGGCATGTATGCTGATGGTAGCCAGCCCATCTTGGACTTGGGTGGCTTCTATAGTAATGAATGATGACCACAGCTTTTATCATTTTATCTTAGCTGGACAGGGTGGTAAACACTTATAATCCCAGCATTTAGAAGGCTGAGGCACAAGAATCACAGTGAGTTCAAGGCCAGCCTGGGTTCCATAGTGAGTTCAAAGCCAGCTAGAACTATACAGCAAGACCCTGTCTTAAAAAAAAATAAAATAAAATTAAAAAGATAATCATTTCACCTTTGTGAGTTTTTTTATTGTTTTGAGACGGTCTCGTTATGTAGTTCAGGTTGGCCTTGGATTCTTGGCAGTCTTCCTGCCTCAGCCTCTTGAGTACTGGAATTACAGGCTTGTGCTACCACACTCAGCCATTTCATCATTTAAGAAAATTTATATTGTGTAAGACTAGGCGTGGTGGTATGTGCCTGTAATCCCAGTGCCTGGGAGGCTTCGGGAGGATCACTAGGAGTCCGATCTGTGTAGTGAGAACCTGTAGACCCTGTACTAAAATTTAAAAAAAAGGGGGCCTGCCCATCAGCTCAGTTGTTTAAGGGCCTGCTCATGCAAACACAGGCACAGGATACTGTGGTTCAATCCCCAGCTTCACCCGCCTTACCAGACTTGCCCTTTTCGCAGCCTGAGCCACCAAAAAAACAAACAAAAAAAGAAATGTATATTATTCAGCTTATTTATGTGATGTTATATTTTACATTTGAGGAGGGTAGTGAGAGATGAAATAGATAGGAACTAGTGCTGCCTAGTGTCAGACACTCTAAAATCCTTTTTTTTGTTTTTTTAAAAAATGTATTTAGTACAGGGTCCAGTCTACACTGGGGGGGCTGAAAACAAGACGATCACTAGGAGTTCAAGCTGCATAGTGAGACCCTATATCAAATACATTAAAAAAAAAAAAAAAAAAAACCTCAGGGCCAGGGAGATGGCTTAGTAAAGCACTTGCCTGGCAAGCTCAAGGGCCTGAGATCAATCTCTGGTTCTGCCAAAAATAAATAAATACAAATTACACAGTCATTTGGGAGCATGCTTACAAAGGAACTCTTAATATCACCTTTACCAGCTCACTCGGAAAGAAACTTGCTGTGGATTATGCCCGAAGAATAAATTCATCTACATCATAGGAATTTCATAGACTCTAAGGCCATTTTTATTTTAATCTTTTTCCAATTTTTCTCCTTTCCCCTAAACATTTTCCATAAAACTTGGTAAGCTGGAGAGTGATAGGTTCCAGCCTGAGTACAAACTGCTAAATTATTATGGCCGAGATTCAACATGGCTGAATCCCCAAAATAGCTTAGCTTCCTAATGACCACTTCCTCCTTCCCCACTCCAGTCCTGGATAGCCCCCCGTCAGCTCCTTGGGTGTCACTGAACCTACCCCTCAAACTCTGCCCCTATCAAAAGTCCATAAAGTCTCATCCTTCCTGTGTCAGGTCAGAAGATCCCCATCTCCCTACCGTCGATCCTTTCTGTGTCCTCACTGGCAATAAAGGCCTTTCTCTCCCTTTTACTTCTCTGCAGTGCAGAAACACCTAATAGAGAGTAAAATGTAGATTATTAAATAAGAATTTTTCACTAATACTACTTAGTGTTTTCATTTTTCTAGATACTCCCAAGCCCATTTGCATTCCCTTGTAGTAGGCGGAGGAAAGGAAGTGACTAGGTAAATATGACTGTTGTGTGTCTAAAACTCCCAAGTGTCTGGACCTGTAGCATGAGGCTGTAAAAGTAGCTGACTTCCTTACTCGCGATCCCTGCATTTTGTGGAGTGTGTCCCAGAAGTAGTGCTTCTGAGCTGACGTATTTGAAAAAGGAGTTATTATTTTGATGCATTCAATGTTCTTGAATTCAGATTATTTTTCCTGGGAATATAGTTTGAATTTTAAAATAAGCAATGAAAAAAAGGTACGTCTCAGGTCAGATACAGTATCCTGGTAATTGGTTTTTAAATATTTAGGTTAAATTTACAAATTTTTTTTGTTTTGTTTTGTTTTGTTTTGTTTTTTCCACAACCAAGGATTGAACTCAGGCTCTTGTGCTTGCCAGTGAAGCGCTTATTCCACTGAGCCATCTCCCCGGCCCTGTTTTTTGTTTTTGAGACAGGGTCTTACTGTGTATTTCAGGCTGGCCTTGAATTCATTATGTAGTCCAGGTTGGCCTTGAACTCAGGGTGATCTTTCTGCTTCAGTCTCTTTAGTGCTGGGATTACAGTAAATGTATAAATTATTAAAAAGTATTTAGCTTCCCTAATACCTGCAAGTTAATAAATGCCATTTTCCATGAAAATGGCAAAATTTGAAACATACTGTCAGTGACAGGGTGGGAGCTGGGAAACAGATATTTGTGTTTCAGACATTAACTAGAGTAGCCCTTGCAGAGGGCACATTGATTTCATTTATTAACATTAAAAGTGCAGATACACTGTCCACCTCACAGGTGTTTGTCCTAGAGAAATTTTCAGATATATACAGAGTCATTAGGGATATTTGTTGTAGCAGTGTTTGTAATGGAAAAGTTTAAATGATTTGTCAGAAGAGTTAAGTGAACTGCAGTACATTTGTATTACTAAATAACATACAGCAATTAGAATAAACCAGTTCCAAATGTACTGACATGGTAAGTTTTCCAGACATGTTATCAAGTAAAGTAAGTAGGTCATAGAAAAATACATATACACTTAGTTTATGTTGAAAAGGAAATGTGCCTATATGTAGGTAAATGCTTAAAATTCTAAAAGGATATTCTCCAGGATTGAAAACAGGTGGCTAGGGAAGGGGTTGGCAGTGGTGGAATTTTATGTTGCTTCAATTTTTTCAGCCAAAATGTGTGTGTGTACCTATAGTATATAATTAAGAATACATAAAGAATGGTAAGCAGATGGAAATTCAAATTATTGCCTGCACCCACATCAGATAAGTAAACTTCCTGTGTTCTTTCCTTAGGGATTTTTGCCAAACCTGACTATATTAGGATGACGTATCCAAAGAGTCAGCTTCACCATACACTGCCTTTATTGTTGATTTGTGACAATCTCCGTGACCCTGGGAATCTAGGGACAATTCTGAGATCTGCAGCTGGGGCAGGATGCAGCAAAGTGTTACTCACCAAAGGTAAGAGCACCTGTTGCCAGATGGCTTGGTTAGCCATTTGTAAGTGAGCCAGGGCTCTAGGCAGGCAGGCACGGGTCCAAATTGTGGATCTGTCCGTACGTAACTAGTTTATATCCATGAGCAATATACTAAGTACCGTTTCCCTTTATTTGTCTATCTAGATTGTGTGTGTGTGTGTGTGTGTGTGTGTGTGTTTATGTATTTATTTTTTCCAGTGCCAGGCATTGAACTCAGGCCCTTGTACTTGCCAGGCAAGCGCTTATTCTACTGAGTCATCTCCCCGGCCCCATTTTTGTTTTTTGAGATAGTCTTGATGTAGTTCAGGCTGTCTTGAACTCACTATGAGTTCAAGAAAAACCTGGCTTTGAATTCTCAGGTATGTGCCACCATACCTGGCTTTCTTATCTGTAAAATGGAAATCATAGAATCATAGAATGTTCCTCATAGGAATTTTTTTTTTTTTTTTTTTTTGAGACAGGGTTACAGGCTGGCTTTGAGCTCACTGTAGCCCAGACTTGCTTCAAACTTTGGGCAATCCTGCCTCAGCCTCCAAAGTGTTGAGATTAGATGTGTGTATCACCATGCTGGGCTTTCTTTTCATAGGAAAATTGGAGGATTACTTGAGATGATGCAGATAAAGTCCTTCATACCATGCCTGAGACAATATGTGATCCAGTAAATGTTGATTTATCTTTTAAAATTACTTTGAGGGCCAACGAGATAGCTCAGTGGTCTAAAGCACCTGCTTAGGCAAGCTCAGGCAGGCACAGAGGATTGTGGTTCAATCCCCAGTACCACATAGGGCTCCAGTCCCACCTTTAGGGTGGCCTAAGCCGGCCCCCCCAAAAAAAATTAGAAATCTAGGTTGTTGTTATTTTTTTTTATTAATGCAGATGCCAGTTTTAACGTTTGGTTGTAGGTCCTGCATTTAATGATCTTGTGTCCTCAAGTTGTGGGGTCTATGAAACCTTCAACCCAGAATTCTGGGTCCTAAAAAAGAAAAATTCTGGGTCCCACGAAAGAAAAACAGTCAATAGAGTGTGACTTCACCACGGTGATCCATTTCCCTTACCCTTGGGATGGGTCACACACTCCACACTGGTTACCTCATTACCTTCTTTCTCTTTGCATCAGAAATGGGGTTTATTAGGCTTGGCCCCAGTTAGAGTTGCTAAATGGATGGCTTATGCAGAAGTGCCAATTACACCTTTGGGAGTGCCAGTGAAGGAGAGTCATTCATCCAAATCACCTAATTTACCATTAAATATAAACTTAATAGTGGCGGTCATGTGGAGGCTTGCCTAAGTTGCTCCTTCCTGCTCGTGCCCTGTTGGAGTGTGTTTCTCTGTCAGCGTGAGACTTTGGTCCTGGGGTTCCGTAAGTACCCATTGTTGAGCACCCTGGTAGCAGGTATGCTTTCACAAATGTTTCTGTAATCCAAGCAGTGTAGTGTTCCCAAGATGCCTGTGGCTGGTATGAAAAAGAGGGAAAGGAGTAGGAAACGTTCCCTAGGGCCCCAGTGCAAGGCATGAGGAGAGGAGCGTCACCTTTTCCATACTCCCCATTAAGTGAAGGGGTCAGACTACACATTTCTCTCACAAATCTGCGCCACTCTTCTAGTCCCTTTCCCTCGTCTGTTGGCCCATAGCCTGCCGCCCATCTCTGGTTTCCTGCAGTGCATGGGTAAAGTCTGCGTGGGGGAGTACGTGTGTGCACGCTAACATCCTGTGTCTTAATCTCTGTTTTAAAACTGGTCTGCCTAGTTCCATCTATGTAAGTGTGACAGATGAACAAAATGTAACATGAGAAGGCTTATGCTAATAGCTAAGGGGACGATGGCAGGTGTGTGATGCTGCCATGATGCGGTGTCCTGGCTACGCCATCTCTCCCAGTTTACGCATGGTGAGCAGAGGCTCTGAGGAAGATCAGAGCAGCTAGCCTGCGACGGTGTGTGAAGTAGGGGGTTTCTCTGGCCTCCTTCCTGCAGTAGGAAGAGCATGCTGAGTGGTCAAGGCTCCACTCGCCACACATGATTTGTCATCTCTTCTGTGGAGAATCTCTTTTTCAATCTAGACTGAACATTGACGCCAGATGGGTCTTTGTAAAACACCAATCGGGTTCTGTTACTGTTTTGGTTAAAATTTTAGTGGCATCATATTGTTGTCTGATAAAATTCCAAACTCTGGTTGGGCATGATGGTGCACAGAAGCACTCTGGGATACTGAAGCAGGGTGATTGCAAGTTCAAGCCTAGCAGCCTGAATAACTTAGTGATTTAATGAGTCCTGTCTAAATTTTTAAATTTAAAAAAAAAAATTACAGTCCAGTGGAAAGACGTTGGTTTCAGCTCCTGGTACCGCATCAGGCTATCAGTCTGAAATCCTGCCAGGCATCGTAGCTCATGCTTGTGATCTGAGCACTTAGGAGGCTGAGGCAGGAGAGTTGCTGTGATTTTGAGGCCAGGTTGCTCTACATAATAAGTTCAAGCCAGCTTGAACTACATAGTGAGACTCTGTTCCTCAAAATTTAAAAAATCCAAACCCCAGCTTAGCCTCCCCTGCATTAACAGCTGCCTGCCTCTTACTTCCTTTTCTAGCACAGCCCCGCGGTAAGCAGACTTGCTCATTTGCAGTTCTTAGACCCTGGTATTCTGCCTCTCCTCTGACTTTGTCCCTTGCCTGGACAAGTCAGAGAGAACCAGTCCAATGTCATGGTGTCTTAAAATATTTGATGTTTTTCCTGAAAGTCCCACTTTGTACAAGTTTTCAGTTGCCTTCTTCATTCTTCTTTCATGTCACGTATCACTAGTGATTTTGTTGTTTGAGATAGGGTTACATTGTGATAGTCCAGGCTGGCTTTGAACTCACGGTGTAGCCCAGGCTGGCCTTGAACTTTGCAGTGATCCTCCTGCCTCAGCCTCCCAAGTTATGGGATCACAGGTGTACGCCACCATGCCCAGGTCAGTTACCACTAATGTTGCCATCTGATTGAACACTGTCCCAGCATCACCTACTGTGCCTTGAGTTCCTGCGCAGTGTTACTTCCTTCCACATCCCTTCTACAGTGTTGGGCACGTGTGTATGGACAGCACTGATGGGATGAACAAACGCTGTTCTCAGCGCTAGTGGGGTAATCCTACAGCCCTTTGCTGGGTGCTGCCATCACTTCAGAGGCTCTGGAAGATCCCAGCTACCGAGAAGACTTTAACGCAAAAAATTATCTTAGCTCCAGATCCAAAATTAGATTTACTTAAGTTTCCTAGTTTGTTGATGAAGTCTTTGTATCCTTCTTTTCTAGGCTGTGTGGATGCCTGGGAGCCCAAAGTCCTACGGGCAGGCATGGGGGCACATTTCCAGGTGCCCATTATCAACAATCTGGAATGGGAATCAGTGCCCAACTATCTGCCCCCCGAAACCCGCGTCTACGTGGCAGACAACTGTGGTCTTTATGCCCAAGCTCAGATGTCTAACAAAGCCAGTGACCATGGCTGGGTGTGTGATCGACGATTCCTAAAGTTTCACAAGTATGAGGAGGAGGAGGAGGAAGAGGAAGGCAAGGATCTAGAGAGCAGGGCCAATAAAGGTTGGTTCCCTGAACTTGATGTCCAGAGTTACGACTTGGACTGGATGGAGTCACCAGCAGCTGTGGTGGTAGGTGGGGAGACCCACGGCGTGAGCCTGGAGTCCCTGCAGTTGGCAGAGAGCACTGGGGGCAAGAGGCTGCTAATCCCCGTCGTGCCTGGAGTGGACAGCCTGAACTCAGCCATGGCTGCGAGCATCCTGCTTTTTGAAGGGAAAAGACAGCTGCGGGTAAGAGGGGAGCACATGAGCAGGGACAGGAGTTATCATTGAGAGGATGCCGCTAGCCCCCAGCCTGGCTCAGTGTTAGGAGACTGACAAAGTTGGCAACTGGCTTCCAGGCCACATGCAGGAGGCAGGACGTAGACACTAGTGCCATATATGGTTATTGGAATGATAAGAATTTCTATAAAGTCTCTGCTTTTCATCGAAAATAACAAAGGCCAAAATTCTTGGGAGAAATCCTATCTCTCCCATCTATTGAGGTTGTAGATGGTTCACATGACTAAAAATTCTCCAGAGTGCTTGGCTAGCATGCACAGAGCTCTAGGTTCTAGTTCCATACCTCAACAACAACAACAACAAAAAAAGTTACTAAGGAGCATCCTTCTGTCCAGAAGTTTCCCAAGACAGTATCCTGGTCAGAGCAGACTTCCCTCCACCAGCAGGGGTTGTTTAGTGGCCATGAAGTACTGGTCATAAGCCATGGCTGAGTCACTTGAATCTGATTAGTCACTGGAAGATAAGCCATGATGTATAGAGCCACAGGTTACATTGAAAGGGTTCATTTGCATGTGGTCAGTGTGTGTCTTTTTGCATCGTTGTCCTAGTGATGATACCAATAAGAAATTAATGACCCAGGAAGCTAAGGGGTACAGGTCATGGCGTTCGCCACCTGGCTGTTCTGGGCTGGATATGTCAGCCTCTGGGGTTCAGCCCTTCACTACAGCAGCTACTACCTGTATTTCCCTCTTTGGCAATCAGTAGAAAATGTTATTTCGTCAAGTGGTGTCATGTGTTCTTATCATCTCTCTAAATAACTTTTTGAGAATTGTGCAAAAAAAAGAAACTGAGTTTTAAAATCTATAGCTTAACATTATCTGTCAGGAGAGCCCAACTCTTACTAGCTCCCTTCTGTGAGTAGTTCTTGTTATGGTTTAGATCTAACTTGTCCCATGAAGTCTCGTACTCTGGGGGGACTTGTGGAAGGTATTTGGGGTCAAGAGGGTGATGCACTTACCAAGGGATCAGTCCATTGATGAGTCCATGGCTGAGTGTGCCGGTCAGAGGTGGGGTCTCTGGAGAACTCACGGGGGAGGCAAGCTGGGAAAGTGGATCGTCTCCAGCTCTTCTTTCCCTCCTTTCCCAGTTGCTGTGTGAATAGCTTTCATCTACAATGCAGCAAGCCACCCATAGTTTGAATCTACTGAAACCATGAGCCCAAATCTATATTCCTTTCAGTTCCAGGTTTTGAGAGGTTTTTTGTTGTTGTTGTTATTTTTTAATGTATTTGGTACAGGGCCTCACTATGCAGCTCGGACTCCTAGGGATCCTCCTATTTTCAGCTTCCCCACCACACCTGTTCTCTGTACACCCAAGGGTGGGGCCAGTGTGCATGTGGGGCCAGGGATGGAACCATGGTCCCTGTGCTTGCCAGGCAAGTGCTTAGTCTGCTGAGCTATGTCACCGGCCCTGTGTTGAGTATTTTATACAATCCTATTTTATGTAACACTTGATTAGATATAATGTACTTAACATTTCTATTCTCCTTCCCTCCAGTGGGACAGAACTGCTCAAGAAAATGACTGCTCCTGGGCACAGTGTGAACAGAGTTCCTTTGAGGGGAGGGGGCTTGAGGGGGGGCTGAGGTTCTGCGAGCTTGGGGCACTTGGTATACCGTATTACTTTAGGACCCTGCTGTTCTCTCAGAACCCCAGCGGACCAGAGTAAGCTGGACCCTTCCTTACCAGGTGCCAGCTGGGGATGCGAGGGCAAGTGCAGATGGTAGCTAGTGCATCTGTGGGAAGGGCTGGGTGGACTGGAGTGTGGGACGTCTCCACTGCTTTTCTTTTTTGAGACAAGGTCTTGTTATGTTGCTCAGGCCGAATTTAGTTCACTACCTGACTCTTTCTGCCTCAGCCTCCCAAGTGCTTGGATTATAGGTATATGCCACCGTCCCGGGCCAAGCACTGCTTTTGCAACCACGAAGAACAGGGTTGGAGTTACACAACACGAGGGATGTAATTTTACCACATCCCTTTGATACAGTGGTGTGGTTATGGTTTGGATTCTCTGGGGGTCCTTCAGGTGCTCATCCCAGGGTGGCTGAGTTGCCAGCATGCCCAGGATAAAACATGGAACCCTTCTTCCTTCCCTTCTGTTCCTCCAGGAACCAAGTAGTGGTGGCATTGCTTTGATGTGTTTAAAGGAAAGTGTTTGCAGTTTTTCAATTTGACTGGCAGCACATACCCAGGCTGAGCATCCTGTAGCTGGGGTGTCTGGTCCAGGTCTGCCAGAGACCCCCACAAATGTCCAGTGTGGGGGGATCACAGATGCTTGAGGTTCTCCATCACCAGCCAGCTTTCAGAAAGATGGGGTGTGTTGAGTGGTATGGCCCCCGGTCCACCTTCAGAAAGTAGATGGGCCCAGAGCTGTCTGCTGCCCACGGGCAGCTGGCACAGTTGACAAGCTGAGGAGTGCAGCTGACTGTCACACTGCACGCCCGGCCTGGAAGGCAGCCTGGAGGATTCCTACCACTCCAGACTCTGTTGACATCTACTCTCCCCCTCACCACCTTAAAAATGTGTTAAGAAACAAGTTACTTAATGGAAGCCTGTATGTTTCCAGCATGTCCTATAAGTTTGTCTCTGGATTATGTTCCTGCCGGGTTGTATTACAAAATAAAAATCAGTGAAAGGAGAAACCATCTGCCTTATCATCCTGGGTGTCAGAGGAAAAACTCGCACTATTCACTGTGTAGTCAGTGGCCCACACAGCGTCTGGGTTCCTTTGTGTATTCACAGCGTGATTTCCCTTGGGGGCATGGGGTGGGCAGGAGGGTAACTCCTGCGTCTTTTGCATAACTACTGGGTACCAAGTTGTGGTTACTGTTATTTCCTGAGTAATCCTGGAAAATAACTATCAGGAAGTTAAGTTTTGAGACCAGCACTTGTTCTGGCACCATTTTCCCAGTAAACAAAAGTGAGCAGCATATGACAAGAAAAACTGGTTGGCTAAAAGATGAACATTGTCAAATGCTAGCCAAGCTCCTGCCTTTTGTTGGGGCACTGCTGTAGTACTGACTTCTGCCACGAGGTGGCGGGCCATCCCGCAGAAATGCCTCTCAAAGCAGCAGGGAGGGCTTGGGGTTTTTCCTGGATTTAAATTGTTAAAAGGAGGGGAGAGGATGGAGTCAAGGCTCCACCACAGAACATGCCCAGAGGCGTCAGAGGTCCACACAGATTGTCATAATTTTGGCACAAGAATGTGAAGTTCGGGCTGGTGAGATGGCTCAGTGGTCTAAAGCACCTACTTAGAACAAGTTTAGGAAAGCACAGGGACCGCGGTTCAATGCCCCAGCACCACGTGCCAGCCAGCCCCGCCCCCTGGTGGGCTGTGCTGGCCACACACACACACACACACACACACACTAAATAAATAAATAAATAATTTGTTTAAAAAAAATGTGAAGTTCAGGAAGACTAGTAAAAAATTCAAAAGAGAAATGGGAAGTGGCAAAACTGGCCCAGCTTCTCTGGTGGAGCCTCTAGGGGAGCGGCTGGGTAGCTCTGGGCAGATGTTAGTGCTCCAGTGAACCCGAGTCACTCAGCCACACGTGGCCCTCCGGTTGGTGGTGCAGTGCAGGGGGAACAGATCCCTGCTCATGCGGGCCCACAGGAGAAACGGATCTCTGGGGACCTCCTGTCACTTGCCCCAGGGTTAGAGCAACTCCAGATGTCACCACCATCCAAGCTGAACTCAGCTACTTTTGCTGTTCCCCACACAAAGACCCCAAAACCACCCCTGCCCCAGTTCCCCAGCTAGTACTGGAAACCCACAGCTGTGCTGCAGGGCCTGGTCCTCCCCTCTGGGTCTAGATGCTGCTTCCCTCGGGAGCAGACTTCACTTGCTCTTTCAATTTTTTCAAGAAAGCACTTATGTTTTGTTTTGGGTACTCGCAGTGAGGCCAGCCAGGGTCTTGCATCTAGGCAAGTGCTCTATCACTCATCTACAACCCAACCCATTTTTTTTTACTATTACTTTTTGAGACAAGTCTTGCTAAATTGTCTAGTGTGGCCTCAAACTTTGGATTCTCCTGCCTCAGCCCTTCTGAGTGGTTGCAGTGGTAGGTACGTGTTACCATGCCTGGCGTGTTACCACTTTTAAACTCCAAGATCTTATTTCCTCAGCGAATGCATGAATGAAATAAGCTAGAAGTCAAATTAATGGGTGAAGTGGTTTCTGAACTGAGAAGCCATGTCACATCTGAGTGGCTGACATCACCCTGCAAACTCAGTCCTTGCTGGAAGCCTCAGCAGTGACACTGAATGGTCAAGTATGACTGATAATTGCAATGTGTCATGCATGGGTTCTTCTCTTATTTTTTATTTATTTTTTATGTTGCTCAGTCTGGCCTCAATTTTGACCTACCTCAGCCTCCCAGTAGCTAGGGTTACACCCCATCTGACTTTTTCTGCTCTTAATGCTGGGAATCCTAGTTGTGTTGGAGGCAACAGCTCTTTTTCTCAGTGGAAGCCTTAGAGTTGAGTGGGCCACTGCCAAAGCTGCTGCTTCCTCAAAACACATGAAGGAACAAAGGTTGGAGAGGAGGAGCCGTGGCTGCAGCAAGGTGGGGCCTCAGCCTCTTCACACCCCTGGGTGGAAAGGTGGACACATACTGCAAGCCTGCGGAGTGGCCCTTGTGACTTAGGACTTCCATGTGCTCTGGTGTCCCAAGGAGAATGATCCTTTCGGCCCTGAGTCCCGAGCCCATGTCTGTGTCCTAGCTGTAGCCTGTGTGGTTAGCTCATCTGTGAGAGCCATGAGCACCCAGGAATATAGACCTGAGGTTACTCTGCCTTCTTCGGGCTGCTCAGTGGCCTACGGGATGGAGGCTTATACAAGTTGGCACATTATTTAATAGAAATCTAACTGTCCCTCAGAACAAATTTCACCCACATCTACCAATACATTTCTGGCTTGGGAAACATTCTGAGACACCAAGGGGGTACGCCACACGACAGCTTGTCCTAATGTCCTATCTCCCCCAGAAGTCACAGCCACAAAACAATCAATATAAAGCTGCTTACAGCCTTTGGTTTCCTGAAAAACCTTTCACCTTCCACCCATATGCACAGGCCATTGGCACTAATAAAGCTCAGTCAACAGCCATCTGTCCCAAAGAGTCTTCCCTTAAGCAGACTACTGGGAGGAAAGGGTGTAGGGAAGGTGCAGGGTTCAATGCAGTTGCTTTAGGGGGAAACGTGAAAGGTCCTCCTGTGCTCAGGGTCCCCATGAGAGGAGCTGCAGGGGGTGCTCCTGAGCCTCTGCAGTCCATATTTTTCACCACTCCAAGATCTATACCTCAGTGGTGGTCCAGTCCTAGGTGGCAAGCTCGGGCCTGCCCAGGCTAGGATCACATGTTCATTTGGGCCCCGGACAGCATGACAGTTCTATGGGCAGCATTTCTACACGTGTCCTCACACATCCCTGGTTTTCTCCCCACCCTAAACAGTGCAGCGCTGTATCAGGTCCCACGGGTCTGTTCCTAGATTGTACCTGTTGCCTGTCTCGTTGTTGAATACAGTTTGCTGTGTGGAACCCGGCAGCAGGAGTGGGAACAGCTTTTGAGTGTCTTTGGTTAGGCAATAAGAACAAACGCAGCCTGGCTGAAAATTACCACTTGAAGCTTAGCTGATGCCAGAAAAGCAGTTCTGGCTCCTTATGCCGGGATAAGCGATGGCCACTGATTTCAAGCTGCATGTGGGGAAAGGGGACATAAGCAATAGCAGAACATCACCTCGTTCCTGGAAAGAAAACTTGCTTTCCATCTGCCTACCTGACATACCAGCCCCAACATGTGCCCTTTTCCTTAAACAGATCTGTAATGTTGTAGAAAACCCTACAACTCTCTTGTGAGAATGAGTGGAGTGGAATCTGGAGGTTGTCGGAAGTGGAGAACACAAAGGGAAGAAACCCGGGGTGGTATTCTTACGGCCACCTTGCCGCCTCAACCTGCAGGGGATGGCTTCCTTTGCTGCTGGTGGGAGTCTTTGAATATGTCACAGCAAGAGATTTTAACCCACATCCAATAACAACAAGACTTGTATTTTGGAGTTGCTTGGTGGGCTCTGTCATGCCACCCACTTTATCGGCATCTATAACTGTTAGGATTTCTGGGGGGGGGGATTTCATCAGCACCTAGGAAATGGTTCTTCCCTAATATTGCCCCCTGGAATAGTCACTGCCTAGTAAATCTTCCCTGCTGCTCTAAGCCTACATATCCAATCCAAAGGGGTTTCTGGCAGCAGGGATCCAGGTGATATTAGTGGCCAGTGATTGAGAACAGGCCCAAGTGTCACAGGTGCCCTAATTATTCTGCAGCAATTCCCAGCAACTCATCACTGGATTTGTTGCTTCTGCTCCCAAAGCTGAGGAGCTCCTCAGAGGGATCCTCTGGCCTCCAAGACAAGCTTGACATTAAGACATGGGAAGAAAAACAGTCATGGACAGAAATCTTGCAGGGGAGGGACTCTTGTACCCATCCTGAGGGCCACTGGAGAATTGCTTCAGGAGGCCCTTACCCTTGGGTATACTGGTCCTGCATGTTCCCACCTCTGGCCTCATTCTTCACAGGGACACCTATGCTACAGTTTATATCAAGATGTCCATCCCACAAGAGCCTCACGCACTCACACGCAGGGCTTTTGGAGGGTAACTGAATTATACTAGTGATACAGATGACTTGCTGCTCAGAGGTGAGGCCTGTTGGAAGAGGCAGGTCACTGGTGCTGTGACCAGAAAAGGCATCTCTCCCTCTCTGGCTCTTCTGCTCTCAGTTTCCTGGCTGCCATGGAGCGGGTCTTTTCCTAGGTTGCTTCCCTGCATCCCATCCTTCCTTGGTCTTTCCTAGGTTGCTTCCCTGCATCCCATCCTTCCTTGGAGCCAGAAGACTGTGGACTGAAAACAGGAGCCAAGATGAATCTCTTCTCTAGGGTGTGGGTGCTGGGTATTGTGTCTAGGCAACAAGAAAGCACCTTAGACACCAAGTTAGTCCCTGTGTGCAAACCCCACCCCACCCCACATCGTCTCAGATTGCACAGCACTTAGCTGTCCTGCAGGGATGGACAAGGCAGGAATGGCCAGCAACTTCCGCAATCTGGAAATTCACCCTCCATCAAGTGCCAAGGCAAACCAGGAGAGGCGGTGGCCAGAGCTCCAGGAGGGATCATCTTCTGGCCCTCTCATCCAAATGAGCTTTCTGGCTTCTGGAACCAAGATCTGACAGATGGTCATGTGAATTCTTAGGCTCCCCCATCCTCTCCCTCCACCCCTATGCTGATGAAGGAATGAACTCAGGGCCTTGTGCCTGCTAGGCAAGTGCTCCACCACTGAGCTACATCCCCAGCTCCGGGTCCTGGGATGCTTGAAAATTCTGGAATATAATTACCAGAGGTTGTCTCTGGCCACCCCCTAATAGATCAGGGAAGGCCAAGTGGATGATAATGTCCAGAGATGCCTGCTTTATTTCTTACTAGGTGATTGCATTTCAGTCTGGCAACATCAAATAGTCTAATTACCAACTAATTTTGTACCTCTGAACTACAAACCAACAGTCCATTTCAGTAAGGAACAACAGTGTCAATAGCTTATGGGGGAAACTGGGTTTTCCAAATGAATGGTTTTGGTTGGCAGAGTGCCGAGTGAAGCTGAGGGGAAGGCCCAGGCTTGTTTGAAGACCCTGACACCTGAGACAGGTGAAGCCCTTGTGAGTCCCTAGGCCTAGGCCCTCCACCCCAGATCCTAAGGACATAGGTGTTTCCCTTTTCGTGGTCAGCTCAGCTCAAGTAAGAGGCCAGCCTACCTGGGCCCAGCTCAGGGGGCCCAAGGCCAACTTTAGAGTTGCCCTGCCCTCTGTCCTCACTCCTGTCCTCGGGCACAGCCCCCCTCCAAAGCTTCTCTTTAGTGAAAAGCTTAGCTTCAGGTAAATTCTTGTTGCTTCTTAGTGTTGCTTTGAAAAGAAAAGAGAAGGACAAGGGTAATGGCAGGGGGTGCAGGTGCCTTGGCAGAGGTCCAGCAGCCTCAGGCACAGAGCTGGGCAAAGGCAGGTCGGTGCCAGTTTGGCAGAGCTCCTCTAAGAACTCAGGGCCCAGTGTCTTGGGAAGATGTCCAAGGAAAAGAATTCATTAATGAAATTCCAAGACAGCAGGAGCTATTTGCAGCAGCAAGCAGAAACCAGGGGAAAGTTAAGAGCAAAGAAGAGGTAAAACGGAGGAACGAGAATCTCTAGCCACATGGTAGGAACTCATACAAATAAGCAATTACTATATGAATCATTACCTTAGCTACTTGTTTTCCTCACCCCAAAACCCATAAGCTTCCTTTTCGACTTGGAGGTTTGCTGCCCAAGAACCCAATGACAAGCTGCTGTTTTCCTTAGGCCCAGAAAAGATTAAGTCCCCTGGAAAAAGATGCTTTCGCCAACAGCTCTCAGCCAGGGCCTGCTGAGCTAACGGCCCTTTCCCTGCTCCTCCTGCGTGTTGGTGTGCCACCAAGCAGTTGTCTTCCAGCTGTCTTGGGCGCTGTGTAAGTGTACTGACCCCAGAGCCAGGCCCTACTCTATCAGCCACTGTGACAGGGCCTTCACCCAGAGCTGGTGACCAGGAGAGAGCACTGCAGGCCTCTCTGAGCCAGGTTCCGTCATCCCACATGTCCCAAGCAGTCTCCCAACACCGTAGGTAATGCTGCTGCTGTGAGGCTGGGCAACTTTGGGTGCTGGCTCAGGAGTTAATGCAGAAACAAGGCACCACAGAGAGTTTGGACTCTTGGGCTGTGTGATTCAGTACACGGTGGTAAAGTCCAAGGGCAGATGAGAAAAAGGGGGAAGGAGGAGGCGGAGGAGGAAGAGGAGAAGGAGGACGAGGAGGAGGTGGCGTGGCAGAGGAGACAGTTTTAAATAATGGCTCGGGAGGCTGGAGCTCCACTAGATGGGCTCTGGTTTGAGCTTTTCTCCTAGGAAGTCATTCACAAAGGCCTCCACAACGGCAGGGGTGATTTCTTCCACGTCCATCACATACTTGGCCCGGGCAGACATGTCCAGGATGGTGAGCAGAGGTGCAGCCTCAGGCAGGTTGGTGTAATCTCGAAGGGAGTCGGTCATGTCATCCTGCAAGTCACCAGGGGAGAGAGAAAACTAGTCAATTTAAAAAAGAGTCCCCCTCAAAAATTAAAAAAAGAATCCCCTGGGGAGACCACTCTCCTCAGAAAACACAGCACCCCCGTCTTGAAGGGCAGGTGACCCCACCCTGCCTAGGGAGAAGCACACTGCTTTGGAAAATTCCCTCTATATCCCCCAGCCACAGGCGAGCTGTCTGTCTTTATTAGCGTGAAAGCAACTTCAACCTGCTCTCTGATTTTTAAAAATGTTATGTCCTCTGACTGCCTTTGAGACAGGGTTTCCCTATGTCCAGGCTTGTCTTAAACTTACTACTTACTACTTAAACTTACAGCCCAGGGTGGCCTCCAATTTGGCAATCTTCCCATCTCAACTTTCTGAGTGCTGGGGTTACAGGCATGTGCCACCATGCCTGGCTTTGCTTTTCTGTGTGGTGTGTGGTATGTGGTCCTGGGGACTGACCATCTATCAACAGTACCACTAAACTACACCCTAATCCTTTTTGTGTTTTACTCTGAGATAGGGTCTGGCTAAACTGTGTAAGCTGGCCTCAAACTTTTGATCCTCCTACCTCAGCCTCCCCAGCAGCTAGGATTACAGGTATGTGCCAGACGGCAATTCTCAATTATCTGTAGTCTCCCTGTGGATTATTTGAGTTGGATTTGGACTCAAATGTTTTTTTTTTTTTTAAATTTATGTATTTGGTACAGTGTTTCACTCTGCAGCTCAGACTCGCAGTGATCCTCCTGTTTTCAGCCTCCCCAGCACTGGAATTACGGGCGTGTGGGCCCCCCCGCTGGCTCAATGACCCCTGGGGGCGGGCCAGCGCAGAATGCAGACTGGGAATATCTCACTGGCCCTGGAAGGGTTTTAAATAGAAACAATCCACTGCTTCCCACCAGGTGGTTTCAAGGAAGGCAGGAGTCGCCTGATGACAAGGGCTGCTTAAGCACTAAAGTTTTCACTGGTTGGCTGAGTTTGTCTGAGAGAAAAACTGGTGCTCTTCACCTGTTCCCAGCAGCTGTCCAGGTGATCTTCTCTCACTTGGGCTCTGCCTTATTCGAATGGAGAGGCAAACACAAATCTAATGATGAGAAAAAGTTTGCCAGGGAGTAACAGGTTGGGCTGGCCTTTCACACTACTGACCCTCCTCTGGTAGGAATCAGAAAAGACTTTACCTACTCTGGGATCGTTTTGCTAGAAAATAGACACTATTCGAAACTTGAAAAACCAGATGTGGTTGGCACACACCATAATTCCAGTGTTCTCAGAGGCTGAGGCAGGAGGATTGCAAGTTCCAGCTCAGCCAGAGTGACTTAGCTTAGCAAAACTTTCAAAATAAAAAGCAAAAAATAAATAAATAAATAAA